TTTTTTTGTTTTTAGAAAGTGAAGTTAGCCCAAGAAGTCTTATTGCCTATTCCTTGAAGGTTATCATTTTATTTATGTTCAATTTATAATCTTTTACATACTTTTCTGATTTCAATATAATGTGTGCCATTCGAAATACATTTCTGATGGAACTTGAATATTTCTAGGTGTTGGACTTGGACCTCTACATGCTGAAGACTGAAGAGGAAGGTCTAAAAGTGCTGGAGTGCTAGATATGGATGTTTAATGTTTACTGTCATTTTGAAAGCTCCAACTTCCAACTACTATGTTTTTTATGTCTATAACTTGTTGGGCTAATTTGAATTATGAAATCTTGGACATTTTTTTTTTTATTCTGTTGGATAATTTAGATTATGAACTCTTGGGAATTTATTGGTTATTCCTTTGCCATGTAGTTTTGTACTCATTTTGCATTGTACTTTGTTTTGGGAGCAGGGAAATGAATTTGATGATGGAGTGATTTATGGTGGTGAAAGTTAAGTATTGGATGAATTGGATGATGGAGTAGGGAAATGAATTGTATGACTTGCATTGTACTCTGTTTTGTCAAGTATTTTTGGGCTGTGAAAGTTAGTACATATTTAATTTTGTTGTTGTGCATTTTTTTTGTAAAGAGTTGGTTCAGATTCAGTGTTTGATTGGAATTTTTTCGAGCCGTATTCGAGCATTTTTTTTAGCCAAACTCGAGCAATTTTTCGACCTGAACTCGATCTATTTTTCGAGCCTAAGAATTTGAGTAATCTCGAGCCGAGCTCGAGTAATCGAGTTCTTCCGGTGAGTCGAGTCGAGCCTCCAAAACAAGGCTCGACGAGCTCGAGCTCGAACTCGAGCAGTGTAAAAAAATTTCGATCCCTGCTCGATAAGGTCATTGCTCCACTCGGCTCAATTCGTTTGCAGCTCTAAGTGGACCACACCTCTATCTCTAACATATCCTTCTCCCTCGCATATACACACACCTGCACACACACTATTTACAGAACACAAACTGGCCCGGCAGGCTCTCGTCGCCCATCCTTCTTAGCACATCGCTGCTCGGCCTTCTAAACGCCGCCTTCTGGCCGACAAAGCGTCGCTGCCAATCATCAAAACATCACCGAGCGGCACCCAAAACATCGCAACCCGACCATCAAAGCACCGCTGACT